TTTGGCCATCATTTCAGTGTTTTTGAACTTTATTCACTTTTTAATAACTTTTTTAACGGTTTGGTTTTGCTTTCTTCGATTGCCCCCCCCCCCCGCCCCATATTTTATCATTTGAAACAGTTAGTGGTGTGCTCAAGTCATGTCCGACTCTTTTCGACCCCATGGACTGTAGCCCACCATGCTCCTCTGTCCACAGGATTTCCCAGGCAAGAATACTAGAGTGGGTTGCCATTTCCTTCTCCAGGGGATCTTCCTGACCCAGGGGTTGAATCCACATCTCTTACATCCTCTGCATTGGCAGGTGGATTCTTTTACCACTGCACCACCTGGGAAGTCCAACATTTACTGGTATGAAGTTATATATAGGCAGTATATGCTCAGCCATTAAGATAAATTCTTTGTGAGCGCTCTTGATTCTTCTGTCATCCGTAATGTTTATCTGTGCTATCTTGTGCCAAAGGTTTTCTTCTTTTATGTTTAAAAAAAATCCAGATTTTTGTATTATTTTGTTGTTACTGCTGTAGTTTACCATTTGACTAATACCTCATTGTCCTAAAAATATTTCCCCCATAACACTCCTTGGATCTATTTGTCCTTTTGTGGGTGCCTGAGTTGAAAGCTTTAGTTTGTTTTCAGTTATTTTTCTCATAAATTTATATAAGGCTACATATACCCTTGAGTACTTTCTTTGGCTACTTATTTCACTTATAACGAGTGTTTTCCTTCCTTCCATAAACACAGTTAGACTTTGAATTTACCTCTGAGTACATTTTTGTTTGCATCCCAAAGGCTTTCGTTTGCAGTGGTCTTATCATTCAGTTCTAAATACTTTGTTGTTCATGTGCGATTTATCTTTAACTCATTTGTTTGAACCCTTCCACCTATGTGCATTAGAAAAGTTAGATATCATCACTGATTGATAATTTTATTACAGGTGGCTAGGGAGTAAAGTCTGAATGTTGAGCTTCTCTCTCTGGTCTAATTCGTGGTCCTTTTTTGGTGATGTATTTAGACAGAATGTACATTTTTCATTTGTGGGTACAGAGCCCTGCACGGATCTATTTGCTAAAGTTTGCTACCGCATTGTGCATCTCAAGATCCTTCTTGTCAGCTTGGTCTTTCCGTTCCCGAGTTGGGTTTAGCATCCAGCATCACTGTAGTTCTGTTCATGGTTCCTCACAGGTGTTTTAGCTTTAAATGTTTCAAAGTGATGTTATTAGGGACAGAGTGTGTGTTCAGGGTATTTACACTTTCTAGAGCACTAGAATGCATTTCCCTGGTGGCTCAGTTGCTTAAAAAAAAAAAAAATCCGCCTGCAATGCAGGAGACCCAGGTTCAACCCCCGGGGTTGGGAAGATTCCCTGGAGAAGAAAATGACAACCCACTCCAGTATTCTTGCTGGGAGAATCCCATTGAGAGAGGAGGCTGGCGGGCCCAGAGCTGGACATGACTGAGCGACCACACCACCACCACCACCACCACAGAGCACTCAAATACTTTGGTCCCCGAGAGACCCTTGGTGGAAAGTGGGACTCTGCTGTAGGGCTCTGTCCCTCCCAGCTTGGGGCTGACGCTGTGGTCAGGAGGAGATCATAGATGCCTTGAACTTTGGCACTATCACAATGGGAACTGGCTAGGTCTGGGCCCATGTCCAGGTTACACTACTTACAACCTGTGAAATCTTGGGTAAGAGACCTGACCTATCTGAGCCTCAGTTTTCTGTCCACTGGTGCAGTGTCAGAAGAGTTAAATGGACTGCATAAGCCAAGCATACAGTCAGTGCTCAATAAATGAGGGTGGATGTTATGGAGTCCTATAGCAGGGCCAAGACAACTGGAGATGCTTAGTCTTGGTGCTTCTGTCTGTGAGTTGAGGCAATTCTTTATGGCCCTCTTCCAGCAAGTCTTCAGATAAATCTGTGTGCCACCACCTACCCTCCAACTATAGCCATGAACATCTCAAGGGTGGAATCATAGAGCTGAGGGTCACATGCTCATTGACTTTCCCTGAAGATGTTCTGTCTGGTTTCCAAGGAGGGAAAGGTAGATCCTATTCAGACACTTTAGTCTCAATGGGCTTGGGTAAACAGGAAACAGATTTCTTAGAGGAGCTTTTAGAACCGGGCTTTGAGGATTGAGTAGAAGTTCTGTGGGCAGAGTAGCCTGTGATAAAGTCTTAGATAATTTAGGTAGGACCAGACTTGGGTTAGAGTCTGACTTCTACCCCTTGGGTCCCATGTCTATTACTAAGAAGATACCTTCCCACTACTTCTTGAATTCAAAACTCAGGAGCTACTAAATGTAGTCCTTTGCTATTTCTTCATCTTTCTATCTTCCCACCATCTCAGCCCAGGAGAGTGAAGGATTTCCCCCATGCCAGTTGTGCTATAGCTCCCACTATTCCTGTCTGCAGTCTCTTTCCTGTTTTTTCTCCCCTGATACTCATCTCACAATTTTAAAAAAAGCCTCAGTCTGTAGTTAATGTGCATTCCCCCACATCCCTGGATTTGGATGTTTTCTTGATTGTACTTGCCAAAGATTTGGCTATATTGGTGTTTTTAAAGAAAAGTTTTGTCAATGCAAGAACCACCTCAATAACACCCAATTCGTTATGTGAATTGAAAACTTGGTTCACATATTTAAAAGGTTGACTTGTTTCCAGAATTTGTTTTCTTATCAACATGTTCAAGGCTGTAAAATTTCCCTCATGCATCCCTTTGGCTGCATCCCACGGGTTTTGTTACATTTTGTACTATTTGAGTTGTCTTTCAGTTTCAACATGTCACTTCTATGTTGATTCCTTCTTTAACTCATGCCTCATTTAAAAACGTGTTTTAAAATTTCTCATTGAAGGCCTTTTCAGGGGAGGCTAAGTATTGCAAAATCTACTGCTGTGGTCAAGATCAGGTTATCTAACACTTGTTTCTTGAAATTTATGAAGATCTCCACTGCTGGGTTTTTTTAAAAATAAGTGCTGATTTTCATAAATGTTCCATGTGTGTTTGAGAATTTTAAGGATGGGGATTTAGGGTTTGGTAAATCTATTTGACTAAGTGTATTCATGGTGGTGATCACGTCATTGACTTACATACTTACTGATATTGGATCTGGTGGCTTCTAAAAGCAGTGACCCCACTTTTTCCTAGGCTGGGCCCCTGCCCTCAGACCCTCTTCTCATCCCTGGAGCATATCTGTGCGAACAGGGGGATCTTTCACCCACTTCTGGGTCTCAAGCCAGATGGTGGAGAAGGGACCCAGGCAAGGGTACAGACAGAATGGCTCACGCTCCACAGGGACTGACTGTGGCTTAGAGTAGGGCCCGCTCATGAGATGGCCTACAGCGTGGGCAAGAATAGTGCTCCCAACCCAATTCTTCCCTCCATGGACTCGGCTCTACTGCCGACCCTTGTGACCCTTCTGGGGGCTATGGATGAGACCGACTGGGGTACGAATCCCAGCTCCACTTCAAACCACTGTGCGACTTTTTGTTGGTGCCTGCCCCTCTCTGAACCTCAGTTTCCTCATCTATAAATTGGGTTGATTCCCACCTCAGCAGGCTGGCCCATGGTAGATACTCAGAGATGGTCACGATTATCAACATGAGTAACTACTGTAATTATTGGGGCAGCCCCAGCAGGGAGCTTGGATTCTGTGTTCAAGTTCTCCAGGCTCCTGGCTTCCCCAAGGAGACTGGATGGACAGGGGGTGGGGTGACAAAGACTCCACCAGTGGCCGGGGTCAGACGATCTTCCTTTAATACAAAGTCGATATATCTACATACACAGAGGTGGGAAAACCACCCAGCTGCTTCCGTTTGAATAAACAGTGTTGAAAGCAACAGCAGCTCTGCTCTTGTACAAAGAGAAAAACTCACTTGCTCAGGGGTGGGGGTGGGGCAGAGCCCCATCCTTCTGCCCCAGAACAGCCCCATGGTCCCGGGGGTGCGGGGAGGGGCCCCTGATTGGGGCAGCTCATGGCCTCTCTCTCCCTGGAGAAGTGGGAACCTCCCACTGTGTTCAGTCCTTCTCCTCGAGGTGGGAGATTGGCGAGGGGTGCTCGGGCTGCTGGGGGCGGGGGTCGCTGCGACCTCCTCCGTGGTAGTGCCCACCCTGTGGGCCTGACAACCGACGCTGGTGGGCCCGAGTCCCCCGACTGCCCCACCCTCACCCTCCTTGATATGTCTTGAGAATTTAATTAAAAAAGAAAAAGCAAAAAATTTAAAAAAAAGAAAAATCAGGAGGCAAAGGCCCTATTCTTGAGCGAGGCACACCTTCGGAGTAGGTAAAGGGGGGAAAAAAAAGCAAGCCAAGGGGCAGCCTGAGCCTGCGCAGGCCCACGAACATGACCGGCACGCAAGAACGTCTGTTACGCTGCAAAAAAAGACTGTCTGTGAACAGAATAGGAATAAGCCAAGTTTTTCTTTTTAAATCCGTCGACTGTCAAGTCTCTTTTGTTTCCCCCCTATTTGTTTCTTCTTTAAAAAAAAATGAAAAAAAAAAACACTATTAAAAAAAAAACAAAAACAAAACGAAATGTCACCGGATACAGTTACACTGAGTTTTGAAAGAAAGCTGACTCCTGTCCCCACCCCACTCCTGCACCCCAGCCCGGTGACCCCCAGGCTGCGGGGCAGGAAGGCTGCCTGGTGAGGAGGACAAGGGGCCCAGTTCCCAGCCCCCGCCCCCCTCTGGTTCTGGGGAGCAGCCCCTGCTTTGCTCACCGCCCCCCTCCCCCCACCCCGGAACCTCTCCTCGTGGAATCTGGTTTTAGAAGGGAATGAGGAATGTGCCAAGTATTGAAGGCGGCGGCCCGGCCCAGGGAGGGGGCTGGGGCCGTGCAGGGGGGCTTCAGGGGCTGCGTTGTCATCCCCGGAGACCCCTCGGCTGTGGAAACGTGGTTGCCGCCTCCTGCCCTGGCCGCCGGAGGGGGTCCAGGCCTCGGGGGGCCCACCCGGCACAGGAGGCGAGGGGGCCGGTGGAGTTGGGCCAGGCCAACCTGGCTCTAGGTTGCATAGTGGTCAAAGCTCCCGAGGTACTCCAGCGCCGCCTGGTAGCAGAACTGGTATTCATCCTGCGGGATGGGGGGAGTGGGGGAGGGCCCCCGTCAGCGCCTCTGCAGCCGCCCAGGGCTCCCCATCACACTGCAGAGCTGTGCCCCTCGACCCTGTACCTGTGCTGGGCTCTCCCTGTCCTCAGCTGGCCCGCAGTGTCCTACCTGTCTCTCTGGACGCAGCCACGTGGCCATCCCTGCCTCTTGTGACACTCCCCTGTGGGCTGGGAGATTGCCACTCCAGCTCTGACTGCCTGGAGACGGGGGAGCTTATGGATGCATTTAACGTAGCTTCTGGATCTGGTGGCTTCTAAAAGCAGTGACCCCACTCTTTCCTAGGCTGGCCCCTGCCCTCAGACCCTCTTCTCATCCCTGGAGCATCTCTGTGACAACAGGGGGGATTTTTTACCCACTTCTGGGTCTCAAGCCAGATGCAGATCGGACCCAGGAATGGGTGCCGACACAGACAGGCTCCCCCTCTACCTGCCGGGTGTCTGACTCTGGCTTAGAGTAGGGTCTGCTCATGAGGTGGCCTAGAGCATGGGCAAGTACAGTGCTCCCAACCTAACTGTTCCCTCCATGGACTCAGCTCTACTGCTGGCCCTTCTGAGGGCTGTGGATGAGACTGACTGGGGTACGAATCCCAGCTCCACTTCAAACTGCTCTGTGACTTGGAGACACTGTGTGGTCAAAGCAAAGGTGCCCACTGTCAGCATGATGGTGGGACGCTGGGCCTGGCTTCAGGATCCATGACCCCTGCCAGGGTCCTGGCTGAGCTGGACCTCGTTGAGGCCCTGGGGCCGGGAGGGGGGACCCATCTCCGTTCACTCCGAGGGATGCTTCTCAGCTCTGGCCTTTGGCTACTCTTGGGTCAGCCCAAAGCAGGAGGGGCTGAGGACCTTTTACCCTCAACAACCCTGGGAGTGGGGGGTGGCTGTGCCCACTGCACAGAGGCGAGAACAGAGTCTGGTGGCAGTGTCAACGTGAGGCTGGGCTGCCCTCCCCTCCCCCCAGTCCCCCACCTCACCTCCATCTGCACCATGGCTGGCCTCTGGGTCCGCAGCATCTTCACTGTCTGGAAGATGTCCACCACACCCTCGTACCGCATCCGCTCCAGCACGATGCTGAGCGTGATGAAGACACCCGTCCTGCCCACGCCAGCACTGTCAGGGCGAGTGTGCACGTGAGTTCAGGGGGTGGGCGTGTGGGGGAGCCTGGCTCAGCTGCCCAATTCCTGTCCTGCCTGCTCTGAAGCCCCCTGCCCCAGGGATGGAAGGAGCCCCAGGGGGAGTGCCCGAGGCTGTGCTCGCAGAGACTCCCGCTTCGCGCCACGGGCAGCTCACCTGCAGTGGACAGAGATGGGGCCATCCTGGCCAAACTGCTCCTTGGTCTTGTGCACTTGGCCGATGAAGTCGATGAAGCCTTCCCCCGACTTTGGCACGCCCTGCTCCGGCCAGTCCGTGAACTGGAACTGCCGGACCGTCCGGGACTGGCCGTCCTGGAACGGAGAGTGAGTGAGCCAGGTCCTGTTAGCAAGGTCAGTGGCAGTCACCCTCGCCAACCACAAGCTGCACCAACAGCACACTCCATCCTCCTCACCCTCTGCCACCCACCCTCCTTATCCCACACCATCTTTCGTTGAGATGCTCCGGTTTCGTCTTTACCACCCAAGGCTGCCAAGTCCATCCTCCTCACCATTTCACTTCATCATCCAGCAACACCATCTCACATGGCAATCATTCACCCCCATCCCCCGACTGCTGCTCTCTGCACAGCTCCAAACCCATCCACCACAACCAAAGTGACACCAACATCATTGTTGTCTGTTATCCTCCATTCTGCACGGTACACCCAACATCTGCCCTTTTTGACCCATTCTCCATCTCCCTGGCAACCTCCTCTTTCATCGTCTTACAGTAAAAGATCACTGTCCCCATACTGTCATGTTCCAACAGCACCACCTTCCATCTTCCACCATGGACGTCATCTTCAGCCACTCACCAGCCCTATAATCTCCTATCCTTCACCACTCAAGGGTGCCATCTTCCACCAGCCACCATTGTAAATTTATCATCTTCTACCTGTATACCCAATACCTCTGCCTCCTAACTTTCATTATCCACTTATGGTAGCTCATAATCCTTGAACATCTGGTGATGCCACCTCCCATTAACTTTCTCCATCTCCACCATCTAAATCTCAACCACTCAACCACTCACCTCTCCAATCCTCATGCCCACCAATAAATCACTCATCTCTCCAGTTAACCAACCACTCAGCCATTCATCTCTCTAATCCTTATTGCACCACTCAACCTCTTGGATCCTCATCCCCACCACTCAACTATCCATTTCTCCAATCTTCAGCCCCAACAATCACCTTCCATCTCTCCTATCCTCATTCCCACCACTAAACCAGTAATCTCTCCAATTCTCAACTCATCATTCAACCATCCATGTCTCTAATCCTCATCTCCACTACTCAACCATCTATCTGTCCATTCATCACCACCACTCAACCATCCATCATTCAAATCTTCATCCCCACCACTCAACCACCTAACCTCACCAATACTCGCTTCCCACTACCAAGCAGTGCCATCCATCATCATGGCTCTCTTCCACCTTTCATTTATCATGACCCAATGGTACCATTTTCCACAGTTCATCCTTAGCAATCCATCATTCTTCCCCATCTAAGGACCATTAGACATTCCACTACGTCAGACCACTGACATTCTCCACCCTCCCTCACTGATCACTTACCTTTTCCATTCACAGTCTCTACATCAAAATGTTGCAGTCCAGTAATGCCATGTGATTTGGATGGTCTCCATCCTCCACCACCTAACACTTTCTCCAATCCCACCTTCCTCTCTCTTGGACCATCAACAGTACTGCCTATCACTGAGTGTTCATCGTTCTTTTTACTCTTCAGATCACTTCCTCTCCATTTTATTCCATCTGCCACTGGCCAAACATTTGCCCTTTCTAATCTCACCTCTCTCCATCCATTGCTGGTAACACAACCTTCACCAAGCCATGGTTCCATGTTCTACTGTCATTCTCCATCCACTTCTATCCAGACATTCTAGTCTCCAATCTCACCTTACTCTCATCTAAGACCATCCTGTTTACCACCCTCCTCTGTCACCCAACAGTGACATCGTTCACTGAGTCTCCAATCCCCATTCAACCAATTCAATGGTGCCATCCTGAACTACCCATGCACAATGACCGACAATGCTTTGTCCATCAGGGTTCACTATCCACTGGTAACATCTGGACTGACATTCCCATGCCCCATCATTCTACCCATGGATTCTCCAATTCCGGCGCTAACTTCCATCCTCTGTCACCTAACAGTCTTCATCAGACCCCATCTATAATACCTGCCCTCTCCTATCACCCAGCACCACCCGCCTCCACTGGGTCTTCTCCAGTCAACACTGTCTACTCTCTCCTTTCTCCTCTCTCTCCATACAATGGTTTCAATTCCTAGCACCTGGCCCCCCCACTGTCTACCACTCTTTTCCCATCTGCACTGACCACTACTTGACACCATCAACCCATCACCTTTCCCCCAGCCTGCCTCAGCTCTCTAATGCTGCCCTCCATGGTTGCTGCTTCCCAGCTAATGCCCCACTCACTCCCTTTGACGTGATCACCATGGACTATGTCCCCCAGTGAGTAGCGTGACATGTGCTCTGATGGGGAACACCATGCGGTCGTGGTCCTCTCTTCCACCTGCTCGGTGGTGGGGGTGATTGTCCAGCTGGCCCGCTCACTCCTCTTCCACCCAACCCCTGGGCCTTTGCTTCCACCCCCCAACTAGGAAAGCCCTCTCCAGACCAGCAGGGGAATGGTGAGCTGCCTGCAGGGTCTGTCCCCGTACTTACCCGGGCGTCTGTGACCTTGAACTCCCGCAGGATGTACTGAGGCATGTTGTATTCCGCCATAGGATCCACCACGAAGTACTGGTAGCGGGCGGAGCGCTCGGCCGGCCAGTACTGGTGACACTTCTCCTGTTGAGGGGGTGGGTGCTGTGGTCAGCCCTGTCCACCCCTCCTCCCCCGGCCCCCGGTCACTCCCTACCCCGCCCTGCCCCGTACGGTCCCCGGCTCACCCGGCCCATCTCCCTCAGCTTGGTCAGCATCACCACGATGGTTGAGTTGTTCTCCCAGAGCATGCGCCAGAAGTCCTCCGTGGTTTCCGCCAGCGGGCCCTGTGTGGCTATGTAGGCCTTCTGCTGCCTGTGAGGGGGGAGGGGGGTGGTGGCAGCGGTGAGTCTAGGGCCCCAGGGAGACCCAGGCCCAAGCATCATCTCCCTCCCTATCTGGTTCAACCCCCCACAAAGAATCCTGTTCTGCACCTGGAGAAACCACCAGCCTCAGAATCACTCTAGCTTCGCGAGGAAGCTGCGGGACTGTCTGCAGGCATCTCTGCTTTCATTCTCCAGCCCCTCCAGGGCTACGCATAGCTGCCCATGCCTAGGACACCCTCCTTTGCTCAGGGCTTCTCAACCCTGGCACTACTGACATTCGGGACTGGACGATTGCAATGGGCCCCTGATCTGTAGCCAGTGCATCCCTGGCCTCTGCCCCCTAGAAAGTGTTAGTTGCTCAGTCGTGTGTCTTTGTGACCCCATGCATTGTAGCCCACCAGGCTCCTCTGTTCATGGGGATTCCCCAGACAGGAATACCAGAGCGGATTGCCACTTCCTCCTCCAGGGGATCTTCCCGATCCAGGAATTGAACCTGGGTCTGTTGCATCGCAGGCAGATTCGTTACCATCTGAGCCACCAGGGAAGCCCTAGATGCCAGTAGTAACCCTCCTCTCTCAACTCCCATTTTAGCCACCAACAACATCCCAGATGCTATCAAGTTTCCCCTGGAGGGCAGAACTGCCCAGATCGCTGCTCTTCTCTGAGAGAGAGGGACAGATGGAATCAAGTTCCAGCCAGCAGCCATCAGTTAAATGCATATCTAAAGAGTTCCTCCACCTCAGCTGTGACTGCATGGGGCTGGCAGGGTCTGTTGAGCTGTCTCCCATGTAGGACTGGAGCCCCGGTAGCCGCCAGGGCCAGGTTTACCTGTAACCATCAATGAAGCTGGCATTAATGTAGTCGGAGCCCTCCACGCCCCGGATGGGTTGTAGGCAGACCCGGGTGCTCTCGTAGGGCATGATATTAACCAGGCGGTTCTTGAACTTGTTACAAGGCAGATTGGCACTGATGAAGCGGGATGTGTGGGCTTTGGAGTTGGCCAGCCGCTGTGGAGATGAGGGGATGCCATCAGGACAGCCTCCATGTGGGGACCCAATTTCCCTGGGGTGGGAGCAGGCTGTGTGTTCTCAGCCAGAGGGCTAGCAGGGCCATGGTGGGCAGGGGAACACCAGCCCTCCTACCCTCTGGTCCCCTTAAAGGGGGGGAGGTTGGAGGGAGAGAACTCCGGTCTCCTGCTTAGCCCCCTCTCCCCCACCCAACCACAGCATCCTCTCCCCCTTCCTCCCCACCCACCTTGAACTCGAGTTCCATGCCAGTGACGTGCTCGCCCGGCTCCACCTGCGTCAGCTTCTGGATGTAGGCGTAGAGGCTGCGGGCAGGCACCTCCGTGTTGCCGCAGCCCACGGCCTCCAGCAGGGCCTCGTGGATGAAGCTGTACTGGTCCTCCGTCTGCACCATGTAGTTGCGCTGGGACCTCATGAGCGTCACATGGCCGTACACGTCCACCGTCTTCTCCGGCTTGATCCGCTCCAGCATGGCATCAATGACGATAAAGCAGCCTGTGCGGCCCACACCCGCGCTGTGGAGATGGAGTGGGCTGTCAGGGGGCACCCGAGGGCCAGGGGAGAATGGGGGACAGGGCATAGAAGGGAGCCTGGAGTGAAGGGGCGGGGGCCTGGTACCTGCAGTGGACCACGATGGGGCCCGCGTCTGGCGGGTTGCAGGTCTTGACTCTCCGCAGGAAAGCCAGGAACGGTGTCGGGTACTCAGGCACTCCGTGGTCTGGCCACGCCGTGAACTGGAACTGCCGGACCTCCCGTTTCTCGCTGGAGCCGTTCTGGGGGTGCCGGGGACACTGTTGGTCAATGCGGCCCACCACCCGCGTGCTGGGGGCCCAAGTTCATGCCTCCAGACCACCCTGTCCCTGAGCACCTGATCTGGGAGCCCAGCTGCTCCGGGGAGTGGGGGTGTCTCCAGCTCAGTGTCCCCATCATCTTCGTGCACTCCTCCCCATTTCTCCCTAAACCTGCTCCCCCATCTCAGCTGATGGTGGCGCCGTCCTGCCACGAACTCTGGCCAAAATGTAGCAGGAGTAGCTCTTGAATCCCTTCCCCTGCGTGTCCACACGCAGCATCAGTCAGCACTGCCCGCTCAGCTTTCAAAGTCTATCCCAAGCCCACCCACCTCTCACTCCTCACTCGCCCCCTCCACGGTGATCACCTTAGTCCAGCTCACTGTCATCCATCCAGACCAGAGCAGTCACCTGTTCCCCCTGGGTGTCCCCACCATCTATTCCCTCCACAGCGGCCAGAGAGTGCTGGTGATCACCTGAGTCAGGTCCCGCTGCTCCTCTGCCCACAGCCCTCCCTGGGCTAAAAGCCAGAGTCGCCCCTGCCCCTGCCCCCGACAAGGTTCTGCACGTCCCCCCTGCCCTCCCTCTGCTCCAGCCACACAGGACTCCTCACGATTCCCAAAACACCCAGGGCCTGTGCATGTGCTGTGCCCTCTGCCTGGAATGCTGCCCCCAGACCTCTGCAAAACCTTCCTCACCAACTCCAGGTCCTCCACTACATGCTCCATTCTTCCCTGTTTTACTTTTCTCTTATGTGTAAGATTTCTGGTTGTTTTACATATTTGCTGTCCACGTGTTATCCACTAGACTGTAAGCCCCACAAGGGCGGTACCTGACACAGTGTCTGCTTAATGTGTCAATCAACTGAAAACCCTCACTCCTGTCTTTCTGCTCAGGTTTCGGGCACCTGTGCCAGGTACATGTTCTATGTTAGGGCACGTGGCTGGCTGCCAGGGAAGCACAGTGGTGCTAGAGCATCTCTCTCCCCCTACATGACAATAAAAAGTGTCCCCAGTCTTCCAAGGCACTAGAAATAAAAATAAATGGCACCGTAATGAAACTTACAAGCCTTTGCATAGCAAAGGAAACCATAAACACAACGAAAAGACAGCCTACAGAATGGGAGAAAATATTTGCCAACGATGCAACTGAGGGGCTTAATCTCCAAAACAGATGAAGAACTCATACAGCTCAACAAAAAACAAACAACCTAATTGAATAATGGTCAGAAGATGTAGACATTTCTCCAAAGAAATACATCAAAAATTCTACAAATTCCAAGGGATGGAGAGGATGCAGAGAAAAGGGAGCCCTCCAACACTTTCGGTAGGAATATTAATTGGTGCAGCCATGGTGGAGAACAGTATGGAGGTTCTTCAAAAAACTAAAAATAGAACTACATATGATCCAACAATCCCACTCCTCGCCATATATCTGGAGACAAAACTCCAATAAGATACAGGCACCCCTATTCCACAGCAGCACTATTTACAACAGCCAGGACATGGAAACAATCTAAATGTCTGTTGACAGATGAACGGATAAAGATGTGATACATATATACAATGTACTACTCAGCCACAAAAAAGAATGATACAATACCATTTGAAGCAATATGGATAGGCCTAGAGATGATCATACTAAATGAAAAAAGTCAAAGTATCATATGATAAAAAATGCCATGATATCACATGATAAAAAGTATCGTAACACTTATGATATATGATATCACATATGCTATCACATATATGAGAACACTTATCATATGATAACACATGCAGAATCTAAACTATGACACAAAATGAACTTATCTACAGAACAGAAACAGACTCGTGGATATAGAAACCAGACTTGTTGCCAAGGAGGTTGAGGCAGGGCTGGAGTGAGAGGTAGGGGTTAGCAGATGTAAGCTATTATATATACAGACGGGATGAACAACAATGCCCTACTGAGCACAGAGAACTACATTCAATATCCTGTGATAAACTATAATGGAAAAGAGTATTAAAAAAGTTATGTATATATATACCTGAATCACTTTACTGTATATACATATAGCAGAAGTTAACATTGTAAATCAACTATACTTCAATAAAAATATTCAAAGTGCCCCCAGACATTGCCAAATGTCCCCTGAGCGGCAAAATGCTGCAACCGAGAATCACGGAGTAGGACACGGGGAATCGTGACAGATAGCAGCCATCAGTTAAATACAAAGATTCCCTCCACCTCAGCCCCGACTGCCTGCTCTGTCCTCCATCCAAGACTGGAGGCCCCTCGACTGCATGGCCAAGACCCTGACACAAACCCAGGCTGGGTGACGGAAGGGGTCAAGACTGACCTTGGTGTGGGGGGTAGGCAGGGTGATTGCTGGTGAGGGGAGCAGAGGTTCATTGCTAAGTTGGATTCTGCTGGTTTGTCCTGCTGTGGCTGGAGACAAGAGCTGTTCCCCTGAGTCTCAGTGTCCCCATCCATAAAGTGACCACTTGAGAATGTGCCCAGCCTGGGTCAATGTGGTTTTTCTTCCGTCCAATGGGGAGTTCCCAGGGCAGAAGCTCATCTTCCTTCTGTGCCCACCATCGCCCCCTCCCACAGCTCCCCAGTCTCAGTCCAGGGCCTACCTTGTGTAGGGAGAACGTCCTCACGCAGAAGGTGGCCAGCTCGATGGTGTCCAAGAGCGTGACCTGAATGAAGCCGTAGGTCTCCGTGCCCCTGTTGGGCCAGTACTGGTCGCATTTGATCTGCACCAGGTGAGGGAACACAGGTGAGTGTGGGCCGGGGCCAGCTCAGGGCTTAGGGGCCACAGGGTCCAGGCCTCACCCGTGATTTCTCCTCTAGCCGCGTCATCATAACAATGGTGGCCGAGCGCTGCTCCCACACCATACGCCAGAAGTCGCCAAAGGTCTCTGGCAGTGGCCCCTGTGTGGCGATGTACGCATTCTGCCGCCGGTAGCCGTCCACATAGTTGGCGTTGATATAATCACTGCCCACAATGCCTAGGCCGGGGGTAGGGGAGAAGTCAGAGTTCAGTGGGGGTGCTCTATCCTTCTAGGCTGGCTCCACCTGGTCCATTGCTTAAAGGAAGCCCTCCGAGACTGCCCCAGTCTATCCCCAAGGAAATCATGGTGCATATACTCCATGGTTTCTCTGCCTCAACATTACTGCCGTTTGAAGATAGACTGTTCTATGTTGGGAGCTGTCCTTTACATTGCAAGGTACTGAGTAGCATCCCTGGCCTCTACCCTCAAGATGTCAACACCACCCCCCGCCCCACAGCTGTGACAACAAAAATGTCCTCAGACATTGCCAAATGTCCTTTGTGGTGAAGCTGCCCTGAAAAAAGCTACAGATGTAAAAGATGGATGGAAATCTGTAGTGGACAGTATCCATCAGTTAAATGCAGATCCAAAACTTCTCAATGGCTTCTGGGTAGGGTTGGGCCAGGCCTCAGTTTCCCTGCCTATCTCCTAGCTAGTCCACTCTGGCCTGGCCCCCCTGGCCAAGAGGAGACATGGGGTCTACGTGTTCTCCATGGAATGAGGACAGGCCAAGGTTGTTGGGGAGGAGCCTGGGACCCCGCACGCTACCTTCGATGGGTTGGAGGATTACGCGGGAGTGGTCGTAGGCGATGACATTGGCATAGCGGTTCTTGGGCTTGTTCACTTCCAGGTTGGAGTGCTCCCACGTAAACTGCTGGCCCGGGTCGATGGACTGTGGGAAATGGGAGGCAGGAGATGTCACGGTGGGCATCTGTGGGCCCCAGGAGGGTGGGAGGTGAGGGGGGGGGGTGGCTCACCTCATACTCCTGGGAGAGCTTGAGGCTGTCATTGGCCTTGAGTCGTTCTGTGTGCTCCGCCATGTCCCCAATGGGAATGGGCGGGTGGCTGAGCATGCCTGCAGGGAGAGCAGACCCGCCCATGTGGCCAGTCACTCGGGGGGCCAGGCCGGGGAGGGCAGGGGGCAGGGGGTGCTCTACGGAGTGAGTCTGCGATGGACGAGCTGCGGGTTAGAGGGGGTGGCGGGGAAGAGGAAGGTTTGGGGTGGGCCCCATGGGGGTGAGGAGCCCAGGCCTGGAGGAGGAGCACTAGGTGGAGTCTCCCCCACCCTCCCCAGGCCCCCTGACAACCAGCTGGGGAGGCAGGTGCTGGGGGAGGGTTGCCCCGCAGGACTTCAAGCTCCTAGTGCCTTGTGGCAAGAAGCAGGCAAGTGACACAGAGATGAAGAAGCAGATGTGGCTGGCTGACCTTCTGGAATATCGTCCCCCTGGTGAGGGCGGGGGGCCTACACCCCTGTCTGCCCCCTTGGGGATCGGAGGGACCAAAAAGTCCTCTGCCAGGTGGGGCTGAGGGGCTGGGGAGGGGAGACACGGGGTATGTGTGTGTAGGATGATGGGGTGGGCGTGGGTGTTTGTTCCCCATCTTTAGGCCTGCCAGATGCTTCTCTCCTGGGGCCCAGCGGCCATGCACGCGCACACACACTCACTCAGCAGCTACCGGGAGGGAGACTGACAGCTGCGCGCCAGCGCCCAAGCACCTGTGTTAAACCTATAGGGATTTGCCACGTCGACTGCTGAAGAGCTGTTGTCCACAGCCCCTGTGTGCTGCCCGCCATCCCCGGGTGCTGCCCCAGGGCCCGCGTCTAAGGGGTCGGAGGCTGGTGTCTATTTGACTGGTGGGTCCCCCTGCCTCTCGCGTGTATTCTGACACAGACCTGTGCCCTACACCCCTGCTCCCAGCCCCGTCCTCTCCCTCTCACACACACACACGCAGTCACAACCTGCCACCTTAGGGCCCAGGGGACCGACCCCCGCCCCCTTCGAGAAGCCAGCGCAGGACAGGTGGGCGGAGAGAGAGGAAGCCGGATGGAGAAACCAAGGATGGAAACAAACAGGAGCGAAAGGAAGCCAAGAACAGAGAGACACCGGAACTAACTTTCAAAGTGAAACCCCGGCTCCCTGAGGGGGCTGCTGAGGCCTGAATCTGCAGAAACAGCAAACAATAAATAAATGAAAACACGCGGGGGAGGGGGCCCACCTCCCCCACCCCTCGCTGGGTGCGCGCACAGTGGTCGACGGACAGATAGATGCAAAGGGCAGAGCAACTTCAACAAGTGAGGGACACATGGCCGTCAGGGCCCCAACCAGAGAGCCCGTGACAGCGGCTGGGCATCACTTCAGCTGGATACTGGCGAGTCCTGATTTTCCGCTATGACTTTGGAAAGATCTCAAAGCTTTTAGGTTCTTCTGTCAACCTGTCGTCCCCACACCCCACCACCCCTGACCAACCTGGCCTTGGGTCCCTTGTTGGGGGTCAGCAGAGGGGATTTTAGAGGAGAAGCAGGATGGTGAGGGAGAAACTTGGGGGCAGGAGAACATATGGGCCCATGCCATGAGCTGTAAGACGGACAGAGGCCATCAGTTAAACACACACATTTAAAATTCTCATCTGGATGGAAACGGAATTGACATAAGCTAGTCCAGAGAGAGAAGAGAGAAGAGAATACAAGCGATGCCATGAGACTTTTCATGATCACCTGTGGAGGGCTGCAGCCATTAGGTAAATATAAATGATCAAAACCCGCATTTGGAGAAACATGTAACTAACATGACACAGTCCAGAAATAGAAAAGAGAAAGAAATATATTAGGAGTAGCATCCAAGACTCTACATGAGCCCATCAAAGCCCCCATGATCTCTTATTATGGAGGACTGCAGCCATCAGTTAAATGTTTACAAATCTCCATTTGGTTGGAAACAAAAGTTAACAGGAAGCAGTTCAGAGACAGAAAGTGAAGATCAGGCTGTAGGTAGAGAACAGCAGATGTCACCATGCTATGAGCTCCCAAGGAAAGAACAGCAGCCCTCAGTTAAACTGAAAATCCCTTAATTTGGTTAGAAGCAGCTGGCATGAGCCCATTGAGGAGGCGGGGGCGGGGACTGAGGGGAGCATTGCACATGAAGATGATCAAGGGCAGGGTCCTGATTCAGTTCTCCCACCACGCGTGGCAGGGGACTCAGCAGAATCCTCTTAATCTACAGGGAACTATAATGAAACCGGGAGAGCATGAGCATATGTGGCCACAGAGCGGGGAGAGAGAGAGTGTGGTGGAAGTGGAATTTTTGCTCCTTGTTAGAGGCGCTTCCCCGGGGAGGGTGGAAAAAACCCGAACACCCACCACTGAGTGGACTTAAGACTAGAGGTGTGAACAGAGGCACAGCTTTTTCTGCCAGAAGGAATGAGGACTTAGAAAATGTTTGCTTCTGTCTTTGAAGATGTCCTTTAAGCTCCTGGAGAAGACAGCAGCCACCAGTTGAATGCAGCTTCTCAAAAATCTCCCTAGATTGTAAGCACAATCAACCCCAGGACACTTCCAAGCCCAGAGCCACGTGGGAATCTGGGACTGAAGAACTGCACCAGGCACTGACAAGGATCCATCGAGGCGGCCGCTTCATCTCCCACTGTGCTACCTCCCTCCCATGGGTGTTGTCCCTGGCGCCCGGGATAAGCACATACCTGGCGTCTGGAAGTTAATGCGTCTCATTTCCACGGGGTCCTTGGGGTGGTGGGGGGCAAGGTCGGCGTTGTTCAGGAGGCATTTGGTACGGGGTTCAGAGTCCTTTCGTTTGCTTTGTGTGAGCAGACAGATAGAGATGTGTGACCCAGCTGTATGTGACTCGGCTTCCCATAACCACACACAGACACATGTGCAAAGGTTGGAACAACTAGGTTCCTGCTCATCCCGTGGGCAAGGTGCCACCCCAGCCCCTGTCCTCAGCCTCCAAAGGGCAGGACCAGTTCTTACCTATCAGGCTTACTGCTCCCGGAAGCAGACAGGTGAGAAGGAGGGAAAGAAGGCAGGTGAGGGCAGGCTGGCCATCAAGAGCCTGTTCTATGACTGTGGATGGCTTTCTTCCCCCCTCTGAACCTTGGTCTCCAGAAAATGGGGCTAAGCCCTTCCAACTTGGGTCTCAGCCTTCTAAGCTGGGACATGTCCCACGTGACTTCATTTAATAGGACAAAGGGAGCGTCCCCCCCACCCCACCCCAATCTTGCACGGGACTTAACAGGAGTCAGATCACTAGCCAGGTTGGAATGCCAGCCCTGCCATTTCCCAGGCTGTGTGACTTTGATCAAGTGGCTTAACCTCTCTGAGCCCTGTTTTCCCTGTCTGGACCACAGATGGCTTCTGTGATCATTCTCTGAGACATCCTTTCCCTGGATCTTTCCAAACCTCCGACCCTTAGGAAGGCCTCCCTCCTGTCAAGTGGGGACATGCAAGGGGCTCACTTCTTGTAGAGCAAGATGGCAATCACTATGCAGATAATGAAGACCACAGCCAGCACAGGCCCGATCACCCAGATGAGCCCCTCCTCGCCGTCTACGATGGGCTGGGGATCTGGGTTGTCCAGCTGGAAGGGGTCTGAGAAGGGGCTGGCCGCAAATGTCTGCAGAAATGGGGTGGGGGGGACTTCCATCAGTGCCCACTGCCCTCATGGTGGCCAAATGGGTCTTCCTCAAACACAAATCTGTGTCCATCCCCTACTCTAAACCGTCCTATGGCTTCCAAGAACACTGCCCATAGTGGTCTGGCCCTGGCCAATCTTCACTCTTCCCCTCCTCTACTCTTTCAGACATCCTTTTTGTTCCTCTTGCACCCCAGACCTTTGCACATGCAAATTCCAGGATGCCTCTTCTTTACTGAACTCCTATACATCCATCAAAGCCCTAGTTCCAAAGTCCTTTCCTCTAAAAATCCTTCTGCTTGGGAGGATCTGCGTCTGGCTCCGAGGTCAGGGCTCTGGGGACTGAAGCCACTCTGGGCATTCTGGATGTGTGCAGACACCACTCGGGACTTACAGGCTCACTCTTCTGCAGCACAGCAAGCACAAAGAGGACATATCGGTGGCCAGGCTCCAGGCCCCTGTTGTCAAAGCCTCCATACTGTTTCTGGTCCCCAGGATGGAAGGTGTGTGGCAGCACTGAGAAGCGAGCCGCAATGTAGGGTCGGGGGACCTCCAGCTGACGCGAGTGCCGCAGGCTGCGCCTCTGCAGCCGTGCGATGTCCTGGATCAGCTGTAGGAACAGAGGTGTGGGCTGCTCAGAACCCAGCTGGGAGCCACTAGGCTCCTGAAAGCCGGCACATGTCTAGGCCCCCGTCCCTTACCTCCTCCAGGTCCATATCCTCTGGGCTGCCCAGTGGCGTCAGGAACTGACCACCACGAGATTTGCGCAGTGGCACCATCACGATGAAGTAGTTCCTGGCAGGAGAAAAGAGTCACAGGGGGCTGTCTACAATCATGAGCAAGGGATGCTACTGGGCTGAGTGAGGGCACCACCCCTCTCTGAATCTTCCCTTCCACTCATACCATGGGTATATGGCCCAGGTCACGCAGGACTATAATTTCTGACTCAAGCCTCCAGGGTTTTGATCATGTTGTACCTTTTGCCTAGAAAGTCTACCCTGTGCAGTTACAGGTGACCCGTCAACAACATGGAGATTAGGGGGTGCCAACCCCGCCCCCGCACAGTGGGAAATCCACATGTAAGTACAGTTGGCCTTCTGTATCCATGGTTTTCCATCTATGAATTCAACCAACTGTGGATTGTGTAGTACTATAGTGTGTACTTGTTGAATTAAAAAAATATGCATATGGGTGGGCCCCTGCAATTCAAACCTGTGCTGTTCGAGGGTTAACTGTATACTTCTCAAATGCCCATACGTCCTTCAAAACCCCAGCTTCCACACCCACGCAGTCTTGTAACTCTCAATTTCCCCCTGCTTCTCAGAGTACTCCTGTCCTTACTTGGGACACTCAGCCTTTGTGCGTCTCACTGCCATACCATGGGACTGAGATTGTCTCCCCATCAGTTTGAGAACCTAGAACTAGCAGCAGGTCAGGCCTGTAGGGGCATGAGAGAATGCTGGAGGCCACACTTAGTGGTGACATCTATGAGAGGCACTGGACCTTCAGGGCAACCTGAAAAGGGGCCTATGTAATCTCTGCTCTACAGACCAGCAAGGAACTGGAGAACTGAGAGGTCAAGCGGCAGTCCTCAGTCACATAGCTGACTGGGGGAGGGATGTAAAATCCTGGAGGGGGTGGGTTGAGCTTACTGGACAGGCACGGGGCTCTGGCCATCTGGTAGATACACCACGATGAAGCCATCGGAGTCGGGCTTGGGGGTCACGCTGGGCTTTGAGCTGAGAAGGTTGAAGGCGGTCCAGGCCGTGACTGTCTGCTGGAGGCCGCCCAGGCTGCTGCCGCGGTTGGTCAGCACGAAGTTGTAGAAGGTGTTGGGCTTGAGGTGAGTGATGAGCTTCTTGGTGGTGCGGCCATCCACGTCCAACGTGAGCCCATTGTATTGGATCTGTAGGGCGGGCCGGCTCAGCAGAGCTCTGGGCTGAGCTCTGGTCCTCATCGAGCCTGGATCCCAGACTTAGCCCGGATCCTATGGTCTGTGACTGCAGACTGAACCTCGATCACAGCTGTAGCCCTAATTCCAAGCCTTGACCCCAAGACTCAATCTCGACCCCAGATTGAGTTCCAAACCCAGCTGCTTCTCAATTCCAGCCGAGTCTCAACTCAAAGTTCCAATCCTTAAAAAGTCCTGATTCCACACTTAGGCTTGACTAGAGACTGAGAGACTGAGTCTCAAATCCTAGCTAATCCCAGGCTAAGCCCCAGTTCTGATCGAACCCTAATTCCCCCACTGAACCACGACCCCTGCTGAATCCCAACTGTGCATCCCAATCCTGACTGAGCCCCGAACCCAGGCTGAGCCTCAATATCCCACCCAGTTGCCAGTCCAACTGACCCCCTACCCTGACTCCAGACAGCACCCTCACCCTGGTCAAGCCCCACCCCAAATACACTCTAACCCCAGCTGAGCCCCGCCCCCCACACACCCTAACCACCCCCATCCTAGATGCGACAGGAGGCTGCGCACCTTGTATGGGGTGGGTGAGTTGTAGTTGTCTGGGAATTCCCAGCTGAGCAGGACCGATGTCTTCATGATCATCTTCACCTTGAAGTTCTTGGGCGAGACTGTGCCACACAGCAGCAGGTGGGAGAGAGCAGAGGAGAGATTCCCATGAGTGTCGGGCGGCTGGGCCGGGGTACGGGCTGGGGGTGGGGCGGCCCAGGCGCTCCCTGTCGTCCGCTGTGCCCGTGGCCTTACTGCCTGGCCCTGGCCCGGCCCTGCCTGGCCCTGTCCCATGTCCCTGCTGCGGGAAACGGCGCAGCTGCAGAGAGAAGGCGGAGGCGGAGGAGGGGAGGGGGGACAGGGTGGGTGGGTAGGAAGGGGGGCGGCGGTGGGGGCGGCGATGCCACCTCGGCATGTCCCACCTTTGCCAAACGCCGGAGCCTCGGGGTCCGGACTCGCCTTGAGCGTCCATGTGGAAGCAGAAAAGTGACTTACTTACCTGGGCAGGGGAGAGGGAGGGGGCTGGGGTGGGGGTGGGCACGAGGCCCGGTCCGGCTCTGGTGCGGGGATCACCGCGCGCCTACCTTGGTCCCGCAGGAACGTCCGGTAGCGGACGGGGGGGCTGTAGGGGCCGGGGCCCCGGCGCGTGTGGGCCCGCACTTGGAGGTCATAGGCTGTGTCGGGCTTGAGGCCCTGCAGCGTGAGCACATTCTCGGCGCCCGGCTCGGCCGCTGCTGGCAGCTCGGTCTCTCGGGCAGGGCCCAGGGCGCCAGCCTCCCGCACGGCCACTGTGTACTTGACAATGGCCCCGTTGCGCTCAGCGGGCACAGGCGGCAGCCAGCGGAGCAGGACAGTGCCCGCCGTGGCGTTGCCAGCTGCCTCCAGGATCTGCGGGTGGCCACGGGGTGTGTCCTCAGGGATGCTCAAGACCTCGGCCGCCTCCTCGCCCAGGCCGCCTCGGCTCCGGGCCGCCAGCCGGAACACATACGTGGCCCCCTTGTGCACGCCCGATGCGGTGTAGTGGTCCTCAGTGGGCGGGAACTCCAGCGTGGCCAGGGGGGACGAGTCCTCGCGGCCGAACTGCAGGCGATAGCCCAGCACCTCGTCCTCGGTGGCGCCGGCCGGGGGCTCCCAGCGTGCCAGCAGGCTGCCCTCGGGGATCTGCTGCACCGACAGGGTGGGGCGGCCCAGCACTGTGGGGGGATACAGGCAGGCATCAAGGCCACGTGATCAACCCCCAGCTCCGGAGCACAGCGTGGGGTTGCAATTTTTCGGCCATTTGTGGGATCTCAGTTCCCCAACCAGGTATTGAACTTGGGCCCTCGGCAGTGAAAGCACAGAGTCCTAACCACCGAAACACCAGAGAAGTCCCAAGGAACTGCAGTTTTTAAAAGCCATTTGGGAAGGCCGTGCTCAAAAGCAAAGACTTGAAGGAGGTGAAAGAGGGAGCGACAAGGAGGTCTGGGGGGAACAGTGCTTCAGGCAGAGGAAACAGCCACTGAGGAACAGTAAGGAAGCAGGGGACTCAGAGGACCCGAGAAAGGAAAACATCCACAGAAGTCACGGCAGGCTCTCATCTATGTACCTCAAGTTAGTAAGTCACTCATCTCTTGCCTCCTGCCAGCACCTCATTAGCATCAGTGGAATGGAGAAGGAGTGTCTAAAACTCTGTCTCTGCCCCTGTGGTTCTCAGTCTGGGTAGTAATCAATGCAGCAAAGTCCTGAGAAGTCCTGCCGTGCTGAAGCACTACCCGTGAAACCAGGCTTCTCTGCTGTTGGGACTTATCAGGGCCTTTAAAGGAAGGTGGTATGAACAATCACAGTATATGCAGCATGTTCTGTTTAGCAAGCAGGGCTCTAATATAACATCCCTGAGAGGCAGGAGAGAGATGGGAAGCTTTCTGGAGGTGGTAACATGGGAGCTGGATGCTGGATGACAAAGATACTAGGCGGGTGAAGAGCACAGTAGGGGGCATGGGCCAGCAACAGTGTGAAGGCATGCTGTTTCCAGCTGGGAGGCCTTGAATGTCAGGGTCTGTGGTGAGAAGAAAGATGGAGGCCATGGGGGCCCCTCTCTGTTCCTGGAGCACAGTGAGCTTGTTCCCCTCTCTGAGCCTTTGCCCGGGTTATGCTCTCTGCCTGCAATGCCCTCCCCTTACGTTTTCATAGCTGCCGCTCTCCTCACTCAGCTAATCCTGGCTGGTGAAAAACCAGCCTCTCAGGACAGACAGGAGGAGCCAGAGGGGAAACTAAGGCAGGGCTGCCAGGAGAGAAGGCTTCATGGTACCACAGGGGAGATGGAGACACCACCCGAAATGGCAACCTGCTTGGGGGATCAGAGCTGGGAAGGGGGAGGCATGGGGTGCAGATAGCAGAGCTGGCCACAATTGTTGGCTGGAAGAAGGGTAGGGCGGGAGGCTGGAGAAGGCTTCCCGAGGAGGGAATCTAATCAAAGACCTAAAGGATGTGGAGGAGACAGCCAGCTGGGACAAGGCTATCAGCATAGGGTGAACAGGAGGCTGAGGGTAAGAAGTTAGGAACTGCCTGTTTAGGGATGTCCCTAGTGATCCAGTGGCTAAGATTCTGCACACCCAATGCAGTGGGCCCAGGTTTAATCCATGGCGGGGGGACTACATCCCACATGCAGCATGTAAGCGTTCATGAGCTGCAACTAAGCGTTCACATGCCGCAAAGACGACCCAGCGCAGCCAAATAAATACATTAAAAAAACCAAAAAGAGTAGGGTGTTGAAGGTTTCCATATGGCTGGAGCTGAATGGGGCTGGACCACGCTGAGTCTGAGTGTCCTCTTGAACAACGCCCATAATTCACTCTGTTCCTCCCTCCTGGTGCACCCTTCCGCCCTCCCCAGCACCATGGGCTCAAGAACTCTGCAAGGATGCTCTGAGGGCAAAAGGGGTCTGTGACAGTCTTGTACCTGCTCCTTTGGTCACTACCACCTTGGGTTTGCTGCGAGCGCCATCGCCTTTCATGGTGTAGGCGGCTACCGTGATGGAATAGGCAGTCTCAGGCTGCAGGTTTGTGATGACCATCTCCTGTGGGCAGGGGTGGCGATCAGTGATGCAACCTGGGCTGCCCACCCTCCTCCCCATGCTAGGGACAAGCCAGGCTGACGCAAGGCCCGGTCTGCGGGCAGAGACGTGCACCTGAGCTCATGCCACAACCTCAACACGTAGCATGTCCATGCTGAGATGGGCACACGTGGCCTCATGACACCTGTCATGGCCCACCTGGACCAGTGCAATGCCAACCCCTCTGCTCTGGTGCCGTTACCACTCTTTGCCACCCAGTCTGTCCTCCCTGCAGCGGCCTCCAGAGGGCACGTGTGAGCACCTGAGTCAGGTCCCACTCTCTTCCGACCAGGACTCCCAGTTCCCTAGGGGCAAAAGCCCAAGTCCCTCCCGCCGCCTGCTGCCCACAAGGCCCTGACTGACCTGCCCTGTCCCCTCCCTCGCTCACTCTGCTCTAGCCACATGGGCCTCCCGGCTGCTCCTCCTACACACCAGACATGGTCCTGCCCCGAGGCCTCTGAACTGGCTGTCCCACCTGCCTCCACTATGTCCCTTGGAGTGCTGGAGTTTCCTTACCACAGCTCTCAAATGTCAACAGTCAGACTTGCAGAAAATCTGCAAGCCAGTTCTTAAAACACGGTGATGGTGGAAAATGAATTATCGAGGCTTCCCTGTTGGCTCAGTGGTAAAGAATCTGCCTGCCAATGCAGGAGACATGGGTTCAATCCCCAGTCAGGGAAGATCCTACATGCTGTGGAGCAACGAAGCTCATGCACAACTACTAAGCCTGTACTCTAGAGCCCAGGAACTACAACCTGGGTCCACGTGCCACAGCTGTTTAAGCCTGGGTGCCCTAGAGCCTGTGCTATGCAGCAAGAGAAGCCACCGTAAGGAGAAGCCCATGCTCACTGCAAGAGGAGAAAAGCCGGCACAGCAACGAAGTCCCGGCACAGCCAAAACCAATACACTTTTAACAAACTATAAAAAATGAAGCTATATAAACATATGAGCAAATAAACAGTAAAAGCAAAGGGAGTAGATACTCAAAACCCATTCCTTCCTAATTATTTTACTGTGTTAACTAATACTTATGTCTTCAAGGTTATTCTTTTTTTAAAATTACATCTGAAATTGTAACAAGATTTTCAGCAGTATACACATTTTTATACATTTTTATATTCTTTTCTACTATGGTCCAGGAGCCACTCAGGTAAGAGGGCTAGTGGATACCTCCAGGGTCCTCAGCAGGTGCCCATTTATCTGACGCAAAACGGAGGCTACAAGCTTCAAGAGGTAACACTATCACAGGATATTGAATAGATGCCTGTGCTACACATTTACGACCCTGTTGTTCACCCACGTTCCATCTCTCATATCTGTATAACAGAAATACTCTACAATGATGGGCTACCGCAAACCTGGTCGGTGGCTTGCAATTGATGTAGTTGGAATGTTTACGCCATGGAGAAGGGCAAATGCCACACCAGTCAGGACTGTGCCCACCCGCCCGCCTGCCTGGACAGCTGACCGTTCAAGCCTTTACACCACTGTCTACACTCTGTCCCCACCAGAGCTGTAACTAGACATGCGTTTGTGCGTGTAACAAGTAATATCCCTCTCCCCTGGACCATGACCCCCCAGGAAGGTGGGCTCAAGGCTGTCCTGGTCACCGCTGTGTCCATGGCACCTAGCACAGGTCTACATTAGATTAGGTGCTCACTTAATCACTACTCCTTCAGTGGCTGACAGAGCACCCTGACCTCCCCCAGTCACACGTGTGCCCATGTTTCCATACATGCACACCCACCAACACGTCAGGCATGCCTGGGAGCTGTGGGGTGGCCCCAGCAGCACAGGGAGCGGGGTCAGATGCATGAACAGGGGGTCTCCTGCCCGTGAGCCTCAGACATTCAGTCCTTCCCAGGGTCTTCGTGGGTTGGAGGGGCAGGATAACCTGGGGCCACGTGGGAACGTCCCCGCAAAACTGGGATGGGGGTGGGGAGCACGAGGCAGAGCCACAGGAATGGGTGAAGCTGTGTCAATCTAACATCGGGCTCTGGGCTCTCAGAAGAGCCTGTGGCCGCCATCTTAGGGCAGAAAGACAGCCCAGGAAGAGGCAGCGGTTTGCCTAGAGCCAAACAGTCATCCCAACTCTGGTTCAGGGCCTCCAGAGAAAGCTTGGAGGGGTAGAAACAGTTGTTCTACAGGCCTCTTGTCCCACCTGGGGCCCAAGGACCACTCCCTCAGAGCCAAAACGATGGGGAGGGGCACTCTGGCCTGAGAGAAATTTCAAGGTCAGGGAAGGCTAAGCCAAATGACAATAAAGAGCCAGGCGGAGGAGGGTGGGTAAGGCTGTGGCAAGAGTTGGAGGGAAGATGTGTGGGAGACCACAGCAGGGAGCCAGCCTGGGGGACTGGGATGGGGAGGCAAAAGGCCAGAAGAGTCCAAGGGTCACTCAGGTAAGAAGGCTAATGGATACCTCCGGGGTCCCCAGGAGGTGTCCATTTATCTGACGTAAAACCGAGGCTGTAGCTCCAAGAGGTAAACTGGGTGTGCATCGGGGGCCCAGGGGAGGAGACCCTTTTACAAGGGGCGTGCAGGGAGGTGTGGACTCACAGCACTGACAGTGGCTGGGGGGGGGGGTGGCACTACTTACATATTCAGCCGTGTCGTCCATCTCCCACTGAGCGGGGAGGAGGCGGCAGGAGAGAGAGGAGGAGGTGAGCGAGGTAGCCAGAGAGAAAAAGAGAGAAGCAGCGAGAAGGCAGGAGCGCAGGGACCCCGCCCAGCCCCGCCCCCAGGCCCCACCCGGAGCCCCGCCCACCTGGGCATCGGCCAGCATGATGTCCTTGATGCGCGGCGGCCCTCGGGCCTCTGCGCCCTCCATGCGCACGTAGTGGACCTGGTAGCCGCGGATCTGGCCATGCTGGCGGCCGGGCGCGGGCGAGCGCCACAGCACGCGAATGGCCGTGGCGTTGAGCGCCTCCGCCTCCACCTTCCGCGGCGGCGCGCTGGGCACTGGCGGGAGGGGGGGGGGGCGGGCGGGGCCGTTACTGGGGTGCCCAGCCCCGCCCCGGGCAGCACCACTGCCCGAGGCCAGGGTGACGAGTGACTGCCGGTTAACCTGGCGCTCTGAGCGCTCCCCACTGGCGAGGAGGGAATACCTCCCGCACACCTCCCACAGCCCGGGGGAGTGAGCCCTGACGGTGCACCCCCTTTACAGATTGGCAACTGCGGCTCCCAGAGCCTAGACCACGTGCCCAGGGCCACCAGACATGACTGGGTCCTGCATGTCCCATCCTAAGAGGTGTACACACACTGACTCCACCCTCAGATCACTCCTGCCAGATAGGGAAACGATGAGGCACAGAGAGTTGACTCCAGGAGGGCAGGGTTATTAAGAGACAACGCCGGCATGGGAACCCAGGCAGTTCAGCTGCAGGCTCCATTAAATTACACTCCAGGGTGCAGCCAGCCCACTCCACACTGGGGCACTCTTCTCAGCCAGCCCCCAAGCTCACAGCCCTTGCCATTCACCTCGCCCCTGACCCCAAGATCTGGCATGAAGAATGGCTTCATCTCTTCCCCATGTTTGGGACAAAATGTGGGGCTGCCAACCGAAACTTCCAGGCCAATGGCCCAGAAAGCAACTTGTCCCGGTTTCCTGCAGTTTTACTGGGGGAGCTGCCTGCTTCATTTCCCCCCAGGAACCTCAGCTTCTATTATGTGACTAGCGCCTTACAACTTTCTAGCGTGGCAGCAGTGGAGATATTTACACCACAGAAATTGGCCAGCACTGCAAATCAGTCTCCCTCCATGGGGAGGTGGTGCTTAACCATCCTCAGCATGCCATCTCCTTACTTTCTAGGTAGGATGGCTCAGACCCAAGGAGCTCCAAATCCCAGGTTATCTCAAGACTTTAAAAACAGGGTTTCTGGGGTCCCACAGACCTCGTAATTTTACCCCTAGCGTTGCTTGCTGTTTCTACTGCCATGGTTTCCACCACCAGACCAAAATACAGGACACTGCGCGCTTAATGCTCCAGGCCCAAGGCTCAGAGAAAATGCAGCCCAGAAGGCCCAGCGCGGAGAATTCCAAGAGCAAGGAGCCTGGGATGACTTGTCACGCAGCCCTCTCCTGCCTGCCTCGCACCGTCTGACCGCCAGCCAGCCCAGTCCTCCAGGGACCGAAGGCCCTGCAGCGGGGGGCCGGGCTGCGGCCTGGGGGTCGTGGGCCGGGGCCGATGCTTACCGTCCTCGTCGGTGCGGACGACCACGGGCGAGCTCTCAGGCCCTGGTCCCACCTCTGTGTGAGCGACGGCCGTGATGCGGTACTCCGTCCACTTGTCCAACGCCTCCAGCAGGATCTGGGTGGTGGTCGGGGGGATGCCGTTCACCTCCTTGGGTTGCGGGTCCTCCGAGCCCAGCGGTCGGTAGCGGACGCTATAGCTCACCAGGGCCCCGTTGTGCGTGTCCGGCGGCGGCGGGCGCCAACTTACCAAAATGGCCGTGGAGCGCGTGCTGACGCACTTAACATCTTGAGGGGGGGCTGACGGTTCTATTGGGGGGGGGGGGGGGGAGAACGTGGGGGGCGGGGAAGGGAGGCGGGATGGGCGGGGAGGGGGGGGGTGGGGAAACAAAAGATGGGAAAGAGAAAATAAAAAAGAAGATGATAACAAACAAAACAGAAGCAAACCAAAGAAAAAAGTCGAACCCAAAAGAAGTGGGTGTCAACCAAAGGTGAGATGGGCGGGTGGGCGGGGCAGGGGGCCGGGAGGGCTGGCCAAGAAGGCTGCGTTCAGCATAAGGGGCTGTGCTCGGCACACAGTAGGTCTTAGGGAGAGGGGACCCACAGTCCCCACGGAGCACACATGGGTGCCATGCACTAGGCCAAGGGGAACAGCAGTCAAAGTCCTATTTACTGGGCACCTCCTATGTGCCAGGCACAGTGACAACTGACATAGCAATAAAAGCCCCATTTACTGGGCACCAACTCTCTGCCCGTCACAAAATAACAGCGACTCTGTACTTATTTATTCAACACCTACTGTGTGCCAGGGAGAGCACCAGGGATGGAATGACAGTAAAGGTACTTATCTATTGAAGGCCTACTGTGTGCTGGGGACTGTGTCAGTAGAAAAACAAAAGCTTCATTTATTGGGCACTTACTATATGCCAGGCTCAGTGCCAAGGGCTCTGCAGAGTAACAGTAAGAACATCTATTTACTGAGCCCCTGCTACATGCTAGGCACAATGTCAAGGGCTTTGCAGAGTTAAAAGTAAGTGTACTTATTTACTGAACACCTACTGTATGCCAGGCATAGCACAGGGATAGAGTAACAGTAAATGTACTTATCTACTGAACACCCACTGTGTGCTGAGCACTGTGACAAAGGAATAGCAATAAAAGCTTCATTTACTGGACACTCACTATGTGCCAGCTGCCAAAGCAATAAAAGCCCTGTTAATTCAGTCACTACTATGGCAGGGCTTCCCAGGTGGTGCTAGTGGTAGAGAACCTGCCTGCCAATACAGGAGACATAAGAGATGTGCGTTCTCTCCCTGGGTTGGGAAGATCCTCTGGGGGATGGCATGGCAACCCACTCCAGTATTCTTGCCGGGAAAATCCCATGGACAGAGGAGCCTGGTGGACTACAGTCCAGGGGGTCACAAAGAGTCGAACCCGACTGAGACCTAGCACGCTCACACTACATTCTAGGCACAGTGCCAAGGGTTTCACCAACAACAGTTAAAACATGTACTTATTGAAGTCCTACTATGTGCCAAGCAGCATACCAAGGGCTTTATAGAATAAAATGTTTATTGCACACCTGCTGTGTGCCAGGTACCGTGCCTGGGGAATAGCAAAAGCTCCACTTACTTATATGCTGGGCACAGCACCAACAATGGAATTGCAGTTAACAATAGTTTACTGAACACCTACTATGTGCCCAGGAAACAGCAGGAAAAGCCCCACTTATTGGGCACCTACTATGTGCTAGGAGTGTCTCTAAAAGCTTCATAGGTTAATAAGAGGAGGATCCATTTACTGAAAACCTGTACTGCCAGAGACCCTGGAGGGCAGCCCAATGGTTACTCCTTGGCCTCACTTGCAAAGAAAACAATGCCCGAGTCTTGAATACCTACTGTGTGCCAGTTAGCATGCCAGGGGATATGCAGAGTAATAACAAAAGCCCTGTGTATTAGATGCCTACTGTGATGGCCCCAGGGCCAGAGCTTTACAAGTTAACACAGCTCATATTTAGCATTTACTGTGTGCCACATTTACCACCTACTGTGTGCCAGATTTTTAATAACTCATGGTTCTTCTGTTCTGAGCCCCTACTGTGCACCTGATGCTACCCTAAGCCCATTACTGATCAACAATATGTCTCATTTACTGAGCACCTACTGTAGGTTGGTCTTTTAACAGCCCTCTGATGATAAATGTAGCTGTTGCCATTTAGGCAGTACCTACTGCATGCCAGGCCCTGTGCTAAGGCCTTTATGGAGAAAAAAACAGTTCCCACATATTAGTACCTACTATGTGCTAGGTACTGTATGAAGGGCCTTGTAGAACATTTATAGTTCTCATCTCTTAGGCACCTACTATGTGTCAGGCCCTGTTACTACTGGATCACAGTAATAATTTCCACAATTTAAGCACCTACTATGTGTCAAGCACTGTGTTGATGGCCCTCTACATAAAGATGGTATAGTTCTTATTTATTGAAGACCTACTGTTTACACACACAGAGCCAAGAACCTGCAGACAACGGCTCTTCATGTATGGGGCAAAATCTGCCTGACACCATGCTAGGCCCTTCCAGACTGACAGTAGTTTCCATCTGAGCACCTACTGCGTGCCCAGGACCAGGCCATTTATCGAGCACTTAATGCCAGCCATTGGGCCAAGGGTTTTGCAGAGTGATCATTGTAGCCCCCATGTTTTGAGGACCTACTGTGCACCTGGGACCAGGCTGGGCCTGTAACAAACTATTAATAGTCTCCATTCATGGAGTGCCAACTCTGGGCCCAGCACCTTGTCAATCATATTTAGATTGAAAATAACTGCTGCATTTATGGAGCACCTACTGTGTGCCAGGCAGCTTGTTAAGGGCTTTGATAAACAACTACATATATATATATATATATAAAACTAGATAATAAATAAATAATGTGTGATACTTCTCACACATTAAGCACCAACTGTGTGTGTTCAGGGCTTTATGGAATATCAGTAAATAATCTCCACATGCTAAGCACCCACTAGGGGCCAGGCCCTGTGTTAAGACCATTACTAATAATAAATCTCACATTCTAAGTATTTTCTGCTCACCTAGCAGCCTAGACCTTTTACAGACTCAAAATGTGGCCCACTGATTGTGTCTCATTTAATTCTCACAACCCCTTAGGTGGCCAGAAGTAGCCCCCCTCCACTCCCACCCCATGTTCCCAGGAAATGGGTTTCAAAGCCCACCGGGCTGCCTGGCATTATCGTTGATTGTGTACCCACTGGGTGCCAGGCCCTATTTTACAGGTGAGGAAACTGAGGCCCAGAAAAGGCAAGTGGCCTGCCCTTAGGGCATGCGGTAAGAGCCAGGACTTGAAAACAGGCTCAACGGCTGTCCACAGGCTGTTTTGGTTGCAGCTGGGAATTCAGAACTCAGCCAGTGTGTTTATCAGCTCAGGCCAGTTAAGGATGCCTGCAGTCACACTCCCTCAAATGCCCATGACTCTAGAGTCTGTCTCCCCTCATGGGCAGCTCAGAGAGGTCACTGGCCTTGCTTGAGGTCAAGGTACATAGAACCTTCACCAGCCCCAACTATTCATCATGTGTGTTTATAGACCACTTACTCTGTGCACACCCCCTGCCAAGATCTGGGACACAGAGATGAATCAGAGGCCTCTGTCCTCAAAGCCATCAATCAGGCCACCTGAGACCCCAGAGGCCACTCAAATGACTTATTGCAGCCAGAATGACTCTCTGGACTCACTTAAAGAGAAACACTGGAGTTCCTTCCTCCAGAGCTAGACCCTTGGGGTCCCTTCCCCCATTTCTTGACCAGCCACCCCAACCGAAAGTGCCCAGGGGAGGGGGGAGTCAGGCAGGAGTAGAAAAAACAACCGAGGAATGTGCTGGAAGGAATGGATTCGCTGAGAAAGGGGGAGGAAAAACAAAACCAAAACCGTAACAAAAGAAGAAACAACCATAATGGTGATGATGATGAGAAAAACCATAATAAAAGAAAGAAAGACGCCTTCCAGAAAACTCCCAGTCTGGTTACCTACCTTCCACTCTTCAACTGCTAACTTAAAAGACTTTCTTACGAGGGAGGGAATGGCGGAGTGCTGACCTACAAGGCCAGACCGAGCTCTGGGTGGGTCTCCGGCCGCAAGTGGGGCGTGCAGCCCTGCTCCGGCCCCAGTGTGGGGCACGCTGCAGTTCCAGGCTCGTGCCGACGAGGCAGGAAGGTGGGACGGTGTCTGGGGAGACCCACGGCTGAGTGGTCTGGCCTCCACCTACCCTTGAGTTCATCCTAAGAAGCCCGCACTCCCCGGGGAGGGGGGGGCATACGCCTGGCCCTGCGTCTTGGCTGCCGGTTCTCTTGCGCCCCAACCGTATTGGGGTGCAAAGTGGGGAGTCCCTTCTCCCCCACTCCCTGCCCTGGGCCGCCCCGGAGGTTTGCGTGGATGGGCCAAAGTGCTTTCTTGACGACCTCGGCGGCCGCCTCCTTCACAATCCGGCCCAACCTGCGTGACTTCTCGGGAGGGGGCGGGGTGGTGTGGATGCTCACGCGGATGCGCGTGGGGGAGGGGCATGGTTCCGGGTCCCCAGGTCCTTGACAGGTGTGCCTCTCAGCAGCGGCAGCGGGGTGAAGAGTTTAGGGAGCTGAATTTGGGCTCTGGACTGTCTGCACAGCCCAGCACACTGGGCACAGGCTAGCGGGTGCACGCAGGGTGGGCCGTTTTTGTGAACTCGCTGGAGACCAGCGTGTACTCACCTTCGCGGCACCTGTGCCGGCCTCTCACGTGGCTGCCCAAGCCACAGGACACCCTCACTGATCGCCTCACGCACAAACACGCCTGTGAGTTGCGGAGCACTTGGCTGGGCCCCAGCGGGGCGGGGAGGAGGGTAGGGGCCGGGGGTGACGGAGGAGGGGCGGGGTGCTGTCTCCGAGGCCCCTGATTCCAGCGGCTCAGACACTCTGGCCGGAGTTGCCGTCTCTCGACTGACTCGTGAGCCGCTGTGCGCACACGCTTAGGGGATGCCTGAAGGTTTGAACACCAAGACGGCTTCCGGAACATAGGCTTGGGGTAGCTACCCCGGTGATTGACTGAACAGGGGGAGGAGAAGGAAGGGGCCACCTGGGCCAGACTCAGCAGAGAGGAGGGAGCAGAGGGAGGAGGGGGAGGCAGGGAGGCAGCGGAGGAGGGGCCGGCCTCGGCCCTGAGCTCAGCAGGTGGGGAGGGAGTGAGGAGTGTGGCAGGGGCCACGGTGTGGCCCAGAGCCAGCTGCAGTGTTCCGTCCAAAAGGTGACTTTCTGTGACAGGGAGGCCGGGCGGGCACAGCGAAGAACTCCAGGAATTCCAGAGCCCTATGTTTTGGATAGCCTTGCACTCCCCCCAGGACCAGGCATCAGTTCTGACTCCCCCCACCCTGGCCCCCGCCAATGGGGACCCCTGTTTGGGGGCCAAGAAGGGCCATTTGGGGAGGTGGGGTCTTCTCTGCATCCTCTGCTCTCTGGGAAGGATGGGGTGCACACTGTGACTGTCTCATGGACCCCTCCAAACGCCTGTGAAATGAGCGCAATGTGGCCATTATTCCACAAGCCCCAAACCCAGGAGAGACAGCGGGGAGAGAGAAGGTGCCATCAATCAAACCGGCCATGGCTGTCCCCAGGGGAGACAGAGAATCTGGGGCCTGCAGGGTCCACGGACGAGCCCCTCACTGCAGTGGCGGGGGAACTGGGGCTCAGCAAGGATTCTCGTGCGCCGGAGGCGGAGGAGCGAGGTGGGATGGGCCAAGGCGCCCCCCACCCTTGCGCAGGCCCCGCCCGGGTCAGTGCACAGGCGCCGGCCAGGTCCCCCCCGCAGGTCAGGGCGGGGTCCGAGAGACACCTACTGGACTGCAGCGTGCGCTGCCGCACCACCGAGGTGAAGGCGCCCAGGCCCTGCGGGGAGCGCGCCGCCAGGCGAAAGGCGTACTCCGTGTTGGGTTTCAGGTCATCCACCACAAAGGCCGTGGCCGGGTCGAAGGTCCTCGCGACCTGGGGGAGGGGCGAGGAGAGAGACCCGGATGGAGAGAGAGCGAGAGAGGGGGGCAGAGAGAGCGAGAGACAGACAGACACAGACCCACAGAGTGATGGAGATGGAGAAAAGAGAGGTGGAAAAGTTAGCAAGGGCAGGGGCAAAGAGGAGGAGGAGGATAGATATTCAGGTACCGAGTCGGCAAGGCAGGAGAGCCGCCCAGAGCAGGTGCTTGGGGAGGCGAGAGGGGGCGAGTGCCATCCCCTCCCCCACGCCACCCACGCACCTCTCTGCCGTGGTCGCCTTCCCGGTAGAGGAGCTCGTATTTGATGATGCTCTCCTGCCGCGGGGGGCTCCAGGAGAGCCCGATGCTCGTCTCTGACTTAGCCTCGGCCCGGAAGTTCATGGGCTGGCCGGGCACTGCGGGTGAGAGGCGAGAGGGCTGGTATCGAGGAGAGACTGGGGAGGGGGTCTACCAGCATAGGGTACCCAACCTTTGAGGTTCCCCTTCTCCCCCAAAAGAGCTCCCTAAAGCTTAGCACTGCCCTAAAAAGAAGGGTTATGAGGTTCTGGATGCTCCCACAATGTTCTCCACTGTTCTCATTTCTCTTCTTTTTCCAGGGACACCCCCCTGTGGCCTATTGTTGTCAGCTGCCCGCCCCAACTCCCCCATCCTCTCTGCTGCCAATGGGAAAACATTTTTAAAACATCCCCTTTACAACGCACCCCAGCATCCACCCTCTCCACTCAATGGTGGGGCCCATAACTGGAAATATAGATCCACCCTGTGTCTGCTCTACGGCAGCAGAATTCCAAACCTGCTTTCCCTTTGCTAAAGCAGTGGCTTGACTCTTCCTGGACTCGAGGTTCCCAAGCCCAGAAACCCATAGAGAGCTGGGGCCCATGCACCTACATGTTCCACACCCAGTCCTTCGTCTGCACTGTGAGAGACCTGCCTTCGGGACTTTGGGTTAATATACTTTGTTATTTCAGTGATCCAGTGGGCATGGATCGCTCTAGTGAGAGTAGCAAACCCACGTTCCCAAACTCAGAGATGGATGGGGGAGGGGCATAACAAAGGAAGGGAGGCCAGCGGAGGCCACACCCCTTTTCTCAGACGCATCGCTACCAACTGTAGCCCTGTGTGTGGGCTTGCCAGATCGGCTTTCCCGAGGGTAGTCAGAAATCTGGGTTTTCTAGGACACCCTCCTGCATTGCGACGCTAGCATGAAAATACTTGAAAAAGGCCAAATAAACCACGTGGTGGCTTTCAGGTAAGATGGACCCCTCGGTGCGCTCGGAGGCACATCACCGCATGGCCGCCTCCTACTGCCTGGTGGGGTGTGGGTCCCAAATCCTTCTGTCCTCCCACCCCCCAGAAGCCATGCATCACGTGGGCAACTCACCTCCCTGCTGAGTCTTGACCTGGATAGGGTCTGAGAGGGGCCCGTCGCCCACGGAGGTGAAGGCCAGTACGCGCACTGTGTACGTTTCGTCCTCCAGAAGGCTGCCCACGGTGGTCAGCAGGCTGTCGTCCACGTTGTGCTTCTGCCAGTTGCCCACAGGGTGCTCGGGTTCCATGGTGTAATAGATCCGGTAGCCCCGAATCAAGCCATTGGGTTCCACCGGCTCCTCCCACTGGATGATCATGGTGGTGGCACTGAGCATGCGGGCCTGCACGTTCCTCGGCGCGCTGGCGGGGGCCTGCTCGCCGGTGCGCGTGACCACCGACTCGCTGGGCGGACCCTGGCCGATGGAGTTGACAGCCGACACCCAGATCTCGTACTCAGAGTTGGGGCTCAGGCCGCCGATGCTGTAACGCGTGGTGGTGATGTCCTCTTTGATCTGGTACGGCCCGTCCTGGCTCTTGGATTTATATTCGATGACGTAGTAGGACACAGGGTCTGGGTTGCCTGAGTCCCACGTGATGGTGATGCTAGTGGCTGTGTTCTCTGTCACCACGGGAGTCCCGGGGGCTTTGGGGAGAGCTGTGGGTGGGAGGCAAGGTCACATGTCAGGCATACTGGCTGTGAACCCTCAAGGCTGTGTAACTTTAGTCACGTGACTGCCCTCTCAGAGCCATCATTTCTTTGGTGGTAACCCCTGTCTTAATGACCCCTAGCCTACCATCTATAGCAAGTATTGGCAAGGTATACGGCTTATGTATTGCTGGTGGCTGCTTCTGTGCTAAGAATTACTCAGCTCTGTCAGGGTAGCCCAAAGCTGCCACAAGCCAGTTGTGAGCAAATGGACAGGTGTCAATAAAACTTTATTTATAAAAACAAGTGGAGGGCCAGATTCAGTCCATGGGCTGTAATCTGCTGGCTCCTGTTCCAAAGCTAGAAAAAATATCTGGGGGCATCCTCCTCTGAGTTTCACCACAAACTGAGACATCAAGAGAGTCAGTAATCCCTCCCTACTCCCCAGTGCTCCATCTCTCCGAGTTTTGCACAGGCTGTTTGCTTTTCTTAGATACGTTCTCCATCTGTTTTGGCTCATTCCTGTTCAGCTTTTAGTCTTCCCCTTATTTAGCTTTCCTGGGAATTGGCACCTTTATTCTGGGGGTCTGAGTGGTGCTCCATGGCCCCTATCACTGCCCTAATCTGCCTGATTAATAACTGCTAGGCTACATGGTATCACCCACTTTGGACTGGGAGCTCAGCAGAACAAGACAGGGTCTCATTCCATGGGGCCAGGCCTACAGTAATTTGTCATCAGTAAATACCTGTTGACTGTCCTGTTCACAGCCAGGAGTGACTGAAGCCAGAAGAGTAACTCAGAAGTTTTTCCACCATTATGCCCCACCTACACCTGAGTTACAGGGATGACTTGCCTCCCCCATGGCCTCTGCTTACATTTCACTGTGATCTGTGCCACAGCCTCGATGACGCCCAGGCTGGACATGGCCACGCATGTGTAGTTGGCAGAGTCCTTCACGTCTGTGAGTTCCAGCACGTTCCGGCCCACAGGCATGTCATCCTCGGGCGTCAGGTCCTCGGCCCCCTGCATCCACTTGACGTACGGCATGGGTGAGCCCACGGCCACGCAGGTGATGTTCACGTTGCCACCTGGCATGATCTCGTGGCTCATGGGCAAGATGGAGAACCGTGGCGCCACGCGGCGGACTGGGGGAGTGGGGTGGGCGGGAGATGCGGGGGTGGGGTGGTGGTGGGAGGGAGATGCACGGGGTTGGGGGGGATGGGGAGACGGAATGCAGAGGAGAAAAGAAAGAAAAGCAGGAGGAAAGAAAGGAAGGAAGAAGGAAAGAAAGAAAAAAGGAAAAAAAAAAAGTGGAAAACAATTTAAATATAAACAGGGCTGTTTCCTTCCCCCCAGTCAAAATTTGTTTTCTTCCAAATGAAAGAAAATAACAACAACAAAAAAAGAAACAAATTAAAAAACCAAATTCCAACAAAAAGAAACCAAAACTTCAAAGGAAGGTAATTTCACAAACAATATATATAGAGAGATATCGATATATAATAAAAGAGACATGAAGCATTATTCCATAGCAACAGGGTTTCAGAGACCAAAGTGGCTGGTCCACAGCACAGTTAGAACACAAAAATTTATCAGTGGTTTCTCATCTTTGCTGACAGATGTGGCTTCAGGGAGCAGCCCCTCTGCCGGCTCAGAGGAACTTCCGAAGATTGGGGCTGTGGGGGCCAGGGGACGGGGGATGCTCTGGGAAGGTCAGATGGGAGGGGTGAGGGCACAGAAGGTCATGGGAAGAGTTGGGAGTAGCAGGCAGAGGGGGCCAGGATGTTGGGCCCTCCCATCCCCACTGGCTCTGGTGACCTGGGGTCCCCGCCCACTTCCCCAGGGGGGCCCTCCAGGAAAAGATGAGAAACTCTAATGAAATTTTTGTGGTTTTGGGGTATAGAAACCCTTCTAAAAGCTTCTGTCGGATCTGACAAGTTTCCATTGATAGATGCAGCTCTCAGAATCACAAACAGCATGCAAAATAGGTTGGTTGGTTGAGAAAGGTTGAAAGAGAAAGAGACAGAGAGAGAGAGAGGAAGGAAAAGGCAGAAAGTGGAAGAGAGAGAAGGTTAATGCGAAGAGGCCTGGATCTCAGGGGCCTTTAGTGCACAGTCATGGGGGGAATCAGAGAGAAGAGAGAAAGAGAGAAAACAGAACAGACAGGGAGGGAGAGAGAGAGAAAGGAGGGGGAAGGGACCCACTTCAATGCTGCATATTAATTCTAGCGGATGTGACCCAATGTGACACGTCACATTGTCACATCGCAGCCCTGGCAGAATAATAAGTAGGATATTAATAATAATCATAATCATAAACGAGGGAATGAACTTGAACGCTGAGAAACAGGGACATGTCCTGTGCATTTCTTAGCGGGAAAGCGAATGCAGCCTTCTGTCCCAATCTCGCAGACCATGAAGGCGGCAGGATGCATTTCGGGGGGCTCCATTTTCGGAAGCTGGGTGGGTTTCTGGGTTGGGTGTGCGGGGAAAGAAGGGATAGGCACTAATGGGCATCTAAAGTGCCAAGGGGCACAGCTGCCCCATGGGAAATGTTGCTCTGTGGGGGAAAGGACTTGGGCCAACTGGTAAACCCTTCTAGCCAGATCAAGGTTGTCCCAGGCTTCAGGAAACCACATGGACATGCCCCCAGCTTCGGGCAGGTCAAGGAATCTTGTCTCAAACTGTAGGGATGACCGCCTGGAGGCTCAGCAAGGCTAAACAGGACCACAAAGTAACTTTCACATGAAACTGGGGTGCTCGCGGTGGAGGGGTCTGGCCTGCCCTACAGATGAGGGGGCTCCAGGGGCAAAGGGAGGCAGCCCCGTTTCCTCTCTCTTGGCATGGGTTCCAAGCTGAAAAATCTCAAGCCTTGTTCCCTGAATTCCAGCAGGAAGTGAAGAAGAAGGGGAGCTCCGTGGGGGTGGGAGGGAGGACCAAGAAAGCTGGCAGCCCTTCAGAAAAAGAAGCCCCACGAAAAGTCCAGAGTCACGTTGGAGACAGGATGGAGGAGCTGGAAGGTGTCAGCAGAGGAGAGGAATGGGGGGAGGGGCAGGGACGGGAGACAGAGGGGCCATGCAGACAGACTGGGGAATGAGGGGTGGCGGGGTAGGGCGCTGAGATGGGGGGGCAGCTTTCTGGCAGGGCTGGGAGGAGGGCGGGGGGAGTTGGGAGGAGAATGGGGGGTCCGGCCAGCCAGCGGACGCGGTCCAGGCCAGCCGCCGGCATCCACAGCGAGGCACGAGTGGGATGCCCAAACGCTGCGTTGTCATGGAAACGGAACACGATGGGGGATGAGCGTGGGGAAGCTAATTAATCAAGGACAGAAAACGGCACTGACGTCCAAAACAAAACCAGGAGAAACAAATGCAAAACCAAAGTGGGGTGGGGGGGGATAATTCACAACACCAAACAAAAACCCTCTAAAACAAAATACCCAAAAAGCAAGAAAAAAAAAAAAAAACATGGAATGGGTGTGGGGCTGAAAATCGGGGTCTGAAAGGAGGAGGGCTGTGGCTTCCCCAGGGAGGTACCCCCCAACCCTGGCAGAACACAGCATCTGGCCTCCCCACCCAGCACCCAAGGGCCCTGGCAGAGGCTCAAGACAGCCTCAGAGGTGAGAGTCTCACAGGCAAAAGAACCTTCGGAACCAAACAACCCAGCCACAGGGAGCCCCACTTCTCAGTGATACTCTCCTGCTGCTTGTTTAGAGCGGAACAAACGGAGACCACATCAGTCTAATCACACAGTTCAAGGTGCTCCCCTCAAGACCTCAGGAAAACCTGCCCAGGCTGGGGTGGGGGGCTGATGAGACTGCATAGCCCTGTGGCCTTGAGAAGGGCCCCTCATCCTCTGAGAGCCTGTTTCCTCCTCTGTGAAATGGAGGTCATCAGTGATACGCTGAGGTCATTAAGCTGACTGGGGCAGTGCCCAGCACATAGTAGGTGCTCAGCCTGGGCATGAGGCTGGTGAAGTTCCCTCTGGTCTTCCAGGGTGCTGGAAAGATCAATGAGATGCTTAACATTAAGGAGGTTTCAGCGTGAATCAGAGCTGTTTTTTGGTTTTTTAAAGAAAGCAATAGGAAGAATATCTATTGAATCCCTCCCAACTGAGAGGCCAATGACCTTGTACCCATTTTGTGGATGAGGCAGTGGAGTCCCAGAGAGGAACCAGGGCTAGCTGGAAGACACAAAGAAAGTGATAGGGCCAGAGCTCAAAGCCCAGTATGCCTGATCCCTACCTCCTAGATAAAGTGAGCCTTCTCTTACCATGGTAATTAGCAAGAATTATATAGCCACATGTCCCTTCTTGGTTCTTTCACACTTACATCCTTACCCTCTGGGGATACCAAAAAGGGCAAAAGTACCCCACCTATATACATCTGTCAACTAAATAATCACCAGTTGAATAGCCAGCAGCCATCAAAATAAATGTCCAGGAGCCATCAGTAAAAGGTTTATACCAAAAGGGATTACTGAAACATTAAAGGGAGTAAGAGCTAGCTTTAGGATTTAAAGATTAAATAGCAGCCAGATTTATCCCTGTGTAAAACTCAACATCACACCCCGAAGACCCTGCTCACGTCTGATCTTATCTTAAAATACCTTCCTTTAGGAGTGTCATAGTTTGGAAGGTACCTCTAACACATTTCTGAAGTAGACACAAGGCAAACATCTTGAACATGTAAAAGACTTGCCACACAGGGTTGTTAATTATAAGTCAGTTAAGTGTGGGAGGGCATTTATCAACAAATGTAATTTTGGTGCTCACAAATCCCCAGCATGGCCGGCAGCCATCAATTAAATGGATCTGCCAATATGCTGTAAAGGCTGACACCTAAGACACTTTGCCCACTTGCTTTCTCGCCTACCCCGTTGAGTTCTAAGGGTATGCTGCAAGAAGAGGGCTGGTTTGCCATGACTTAGGGGAGGACTGTGCCCATGAGCACTAGGTGGCTTAACACCCGCCCCCCTCCCCCGAGGGGGAGGGTCCTTATAAGGCCTCTGGGTATCCTCCCAGTTGGCAAGGGCGGGTGGCTGACGCTGTGTTCTGCCCAGTTTGGTGCTGACTCCCACCCACATCATTTTTCCACCCCTGGCTGCAAGCTTGAGGTGCAGGTTAGAGAGTAAGGTGGGCGCGGAACCCACGGGACGGAGTGGCCCCGCGGGACCCCGCCCCCAATTACCGACCTGAGTGGAGGGTCCAGGCAGGTTATAAGGGGACCACACCAGCCTTGGTCCTCAGCACGCTCCAGCTGGTTCTTGTTTCCAGCTCTTCTCGTCACCGAGTAGCCGGGGGGGTCCCAGTGGGGGGGACCCGTGTGGGTGCGGGGATCAGGAGGGTGGGCGGTGGTGGGGGGGTGGCGGGTTGAGGGGATGGGTCGCTTCAAACCCCGATTCACATGGAAAAACAACTCAAAAACCATCAAAGCAACCGGGAGACGACCCCTCCCCCAGGCAGGAAGAGGCAGAAACTCAAAAACCAAAAAAAGTAGGGGGGGGCGGGAGGCGGGGTTCAGGGGAGAAGGGGATGGGAAGGGTGGGGGGGGGAACTCAAAAGTGAGGTGATCTGATTGAAGCACTGGGTAGGGAACTCAACAGTGTCAGACATCTCAACGAGTCAGCAAGCCGCAGCTCCGAGGGGGTGGGGAGGGGGCGGGGGGGGGGCTCTGCTGGGCATTTTGGGGTGGGAGAAGCTGCTGGGTGCTCCTCCGGACTCCAAAATGAGGACGGGGAAGGGCGGGGAAGGTGCCAAGAAGTTCTGCAGCCTCCATGGGGTTTACTCAGGCTTAGATTACACCTGTCAGGGGAGGGGGAGGGGTGTCCGAGGCCTAACGCCAAAGCCCCTCCATTGAACCCCAGCCCGTGGCCCAGGGAGGGTGGGTACCACTCCATGGCCTTCCCTGTGATCTTTCTTCCCCTCCTGCACCATCCTTCCTCCCCTCTCCCACTGCCAGCTCCCTCTGCTGCTCAGATAGTGCAAGGCCTGGAGGGACCTGGCTGGACCCCTGGCCCACAGGCTGACCAGCGGCCTTTTGAGCTGGACATTTTACTGCCCCACAGATACCTTTTTATTGGGTTTTTTTTTTTTTTTTTTGTACTCTCTGTCTCCCAATATTCTTTTTTTTTTTTCTTCCAGTTCTAGCC